TCAGAAAGATAAAATGAATGCAACACATGCAGTAAGCAAAAGCAACCATAAAGGGAAGAATAGGCTAAGATGCAGGTACAATAAGTTAACATAGAATGGAAATGCATGAAATAAAAGATGGTTTTTCAATAATGTAATAGTAAAGTTGAAGCCATGCTTAGAGGTGGTGAAAAGCTGAGCTATTCTCACTTATATGACTGTGCTTATCCTTTGTATTATTGGAAAATATGAAACAAAATAAAATAGAAACTGAAGAAAAAAAATAAAAGCATATCAACATATTAATAAGCAATTAGAAAGTCTTCCAATAAACATCATCAATCATCTTACTAAATGCTGAATTCAACAAAATTTATCATGAATTTAGTTTTTTCTTTAGTTTCTCTCATATACACATAAAATTTAATTTGAGCTATTTCTTAATATAGACATTTAAAGCTACAAATTTCTCACTAAGCACAGCTTTAGTTGCATCCCATACATTTTGGTCTGTTGTATTTTCATTCATATTTATCTCACCATATTTTCTAATACCGTTTTTTTGCTTTCTTCTTCAACCCATTGATTATTGAAGACTGCAATTAAGACCATGTATTTGTGAGTGTCTGAGTTTCTTTCATATTAATGATTTCTAATTTCATTTAATAGAATACATAATTTGGAGTTGCTGAGAGAACAATCTTTGTGCCATTTATATAATTTTACATTAATTTGTATTTGATATAATTTATGCTAAAGAATATTTCAAGTGTATTCAAGAAAATATTTATTTTTCTGTTGTTGACTGGAACATTCTATAGGTATGTGTGAAGTATAGCTGGTTTTATTATTGTTTAAGTGTTCTATCTTCCTCTTGATTTCTCCCTCATTATTTTAAGCATTAGTAAAAGTGAAATTTTGGAATATTTAATTATTACCTTTGAATTTCTATATGTAATATGCTCAAGAATACATTAGATATACAATATTTTATATATTGCTTTTTATAAAGAGAAATCTCTTCATTTATACTATTTTTAAAACTATAATATTTTCTTTACTGATACTTTTACTTTTTAATGTGTGTTTGAATTACCATCTGGAATTTTTTGCTCTCAATCTGAAGAAAACATTCTTTAATAAATACTCATGCAAATTTTGTTGGGCTTTTGTTGCCTGGGAATGCCTCTATTACACATACAGACACATGTGTGTCTTGATCATATCATATCTTGGCTGACAATTATTATTTTGTTTCATTCAGGATTGTAATCATGTTATTTCACTTCCTTCTGGCCTCTACTTATACTATAAGAATTTAGCTGTTGATCATATTAGTCACTTTGGAAGTGACTGACTTTACTCTTGCTTGCAAGATTTTTTTCATTGTGTTTGACTCTCAGGAATTTTACTATGATGTGTCTATTGTCTTGTATAAACATTTCTTCATTTGCTGCTTTTCTCCAGAAACATTTCCAGGAATTTTAAATCTGTTTTCTTTTATAATATTCATCATTTGCCCTGGGAAGCATATCTGTGTACTCCTCATGCTATCATACTGAAATGGAATTATCTGATGAGATATATTTTATAAGTAAAAAAGAATGTCTTAGAAGATTACTGAAATTAAGAATAGTGTGCAAAGGGGTTCAATCTCTATTACTAAGAAGAAAAAAAAGGAAAAATAGAAGACTGTAGTATGTGTATACCATTTTATAGTCCTACCAAAAAAAAGCAATTATATTTTGTATATCAGCAGCAATGCACTGAAAATCTAATTTTCAAAGGTAGTTAATTTTAGGAAGGTTTACTATAGCAACAGAATATATGCATCATCCAATAATAAATTGAACAAGAATGTAAGAAATCTCTTTTAGCCAAAATAAAAAGCTTATTGATATATATTTAGGAAAATAGATAAACCTTGATCATATCTTTATACAGAAGACTATGGTCATAAAGTTATTGATGCTCTCTAAATTTGTTTCTATTTGATTACAATCTTTACCAGAGACCTTATAGGAATTTTCAAGGGATTTGATAATCAGCCTGACTCTATATTTATGAGAGAACAGCAAATAGACAAAAATAGCTCATACACTTTAAAGAAGACATGATTGGGGAAAGTGCCTTGAAAAATATCAAGATTTTAATAAAGTTCTAACTCATAAATGGATGCCAAATAATACATAGTTAGAAAACCAGACTATTGGAACTGAATAGATATTCCATGAAAGGATGAGAATGCAAAAAAACTGATTTGTGAGAGAGAGCATTAAGAATCAGTGGATAAAGGATAAGTTATTTCATAATTAACCTTGGGAAAATAAATTAGAAGTATGGGGAAAAAAATCAATTTCATATAATGACTTAAATCAGAAAGGTAGCATTATGAAACCAAATTTTATATAATCTTTAAAATAAGGCTTAAAAACACTTGTGATGAGATTGATAAAATTGACTGTACTGAAATTAAAATTTCAATGAAATGAAAAATCAGCATAAGTTTTAAAGAACAAACTGCAACTTTGTAGAAGTTATTTGCAACATGTAAGATTTTTTAAATGATCATAAATACATTAACGTGAACTATGTGAAACCATTATGTTATGTTTTTAAAATTGTTTTTATTTTTTAAATACATGGCATGTTATGATTTTTGATATATGCAATATTATAATTTTATTTGTCCTATTTTTTTAAAGTCCTCAAATAAATTAATACTACATACAAGCGCCTATGCAAAACTAGTAAACACACGTGCACACACACACACACACAAATTCACAATCCAGTAGACAGGTAAATTGACATTGCCTACAGTTGGTTGGTAAAACTTAACAAAAATAACTCATTGTCTTCCTTTATCTACTCAACAATTTCCTGTGTAAATAGGGAAACAATGTAAGCCAGGTGTGGTGGCTGTAATACCAGCAGCTCCTGAGGCTGAGGCAGGAGAATTGAGAATTCAAAGAAAACCTCAACAAAAGTGAGGTGCTAAGCAACTCAATGTGACCCTGTCTCCAAAAAAATACAAAAAAAAATAGGGCTGGTGATGTGGTTCAGTGCTTGAATGCGATCAGTTGAACCCCTGGTATCCCCCACCCCCAAAAGAGTGAAACAATATATGCAAATTCCAGGATTAACACAAAAGTTTGAGCATGTGTTTAATGTTAGATTTACCAACACTTTTCTAAGTGATAAAAGAGATTTTTTTTTTCTGCAACAAGCAGCATTCTTGCAGCAAATTCTAAATTCCCATTATAGACTACTTTAAAGAGAGAATATGCAAAGATACTTCTGGTATAAATAATGTCATCCACAAAAGACAAAAGCCCCATTGTAATTTTAATAATTGCATCTTAAGGAACAATTCCCAGCTTCTGTTTTGAACTGTGGTGTATGAAATCACCCACAAATGTTCCCTGCACTAATTAACTGTACTCAAACTTGTCATATACTTTCTGAAAATATAACACAACTATATATTCTGTATGTTTTGAGATAATGTTCCCCTGCTTTTAGCTTACTGGTATTTCCTTCTACGTCATGGAAATAAAGATTACTGGATCATTTGGTGTATCACTGCTTAACTCCATTAGAAACCTCCTTTTGCTCTGCAAATTACTATATAATGAGGCACAGCCAGAAGAAATTTAGGAAAAAATATTGTTAAATCAGAGTGCTTTTTCTGTTTGACTCCTTACTAGTAAGGCATTATAGGCCTGTTTTTATCATAAAGCAAAAAGACATCTAATTATACGTCTGTTCTTAGGAATGACTCTTATTTTCTGGGAAATTGTAATATAGTAGTATATGGCTAAGATTAACATATTTACTTAAATTCATTTAATGAAATATGTATCTACCTATTTGAGTATTTTAGAAACAAGTAGGACACTGATGTCCAGAAATTAGACAGCAATGGTTTGAAATGTCTGCTTTAATGCACAATGATGAGGTTGCCCAATCTTCTGAGACCTGAAAATTTATTGATATCTGAAAAGAAAAAATCTCAGCTGAAATAATAATTACACAAAAAACATTATATACAGTAGCCAAAAATTTGTTTATCTGCTTTTGACAATAATACCAATATGAGATAATTAGTATATATTTGTTTTTCATTAATCAGAATTTGAAAATAAATTAATATGTACAAATAAATTAATATGTATAATGCATGAGATGGTGATAAATAATAAACAAAAATTTGGTGTTGCTGATAGAATTTCAAAACCATATTGTTAACATGGAACCAATCGCTTCTTAGTAACCAGTTTTATGTCAAACTGCAGTTTTATACTTAAGTATTGCTCCAGGTAACCAGTTACCTCCCTGTAACTAATTCACACACACAAAAAAAAATGGAATACTTTCTCAGATGACTTCTCACTTGTTCTTACTTGTATTACTAGTATACACAAAGTTAGTTTACATGATTTTTACATGTGTGACAATCCTCCAATTGGCAGTAAATGGAGCTTTTGTTATTTCTTAGTATAAACACTCAAAAGCATAATTATCTCTTTTATTAGGTACCTGTGGGAGTCAACAAAGTACTTTGATTTGCATGCTATATTGTCATCTAGTCTATGTTTTAATATAGAGTTTCTGGAACCAATCTTCCAAATACGGTGGAATTCTATCCAGTCAACTTTGTTCAGTGCATTATAAAGCTAAGTAAAGAGAATGGAGACTTGAGAAAATGTATGTCTTCCAAAAGAACCCTTAAAACTTGAAGATTATTTTTATAAAATTAATATTTTGTAAGCATATGGTGCTGGTAAAACTCCATTAGTTCATTATTGGGCTCCATGCATTCAACCCATTATTGTTTGGTTATTTTAACTCATGACAAATGAAAAAGTGGGAAGTACAAATGTAAAGAGAGCTTGAGAGGTCCACTAGAGTTGGGATTGTCTTAAGGTTTGCAGGGGATTTACGAACTAGGAAAACAAGTGTTGTTTGGATAGCCATTTTGAAGTGATTAAAATTATTCTAATTTTCACTCTTTTCAGATAATTCCCTCAGCATTTTGGCAAAGCATAATGGATTCAACCGCCAGAAGCAAGAAGTCTATCTTTTACCAATCATAATCAGTGACAGTGGAAATCCTCCACTGAGCAGCACCAGTACCCTGACGATCCGGGTCTGTGGCTGCAGCAATGATGGTGTTGTCCAGTCTTGTAACGTTGAAGCTTATGTCCTTCCCATTGGACTCAGTATGGGCGCCTTAATTGCCATATTAGCATGCATCATTTTGTTGCTAGGTAGGTATTTCCTTCATAGCCTCATGGTCACCATTTTTCTGGTTCATAAATGACTGTAAATGAGGACAGAAAACTCTGTCCTGGCCAGCATCAGCATTCTTTGAGGCAAGAAGTATTTCCTTTTTCCACACTGTGAGGTCACTAAGAGGAAGTCAAGAAAATGTTATGATAGTACATGTAGAATTGAAGAGAATGTTCAGTGCCTTTTTCAGACCCATCATCAGTGAATGATGAACAATGTGTAAAAACAGAATATGGTGGTGAAAGGGGGAATGAGCCTTTCTGTGTTTGTAGCCTCTATTATATAAGATCTCCAGATCTTCTGATGCAAACACACCAATTACTGTAAACAGAGTATGCTATTTGATGCCCATAATACTATTGTACATAAGCAGGGTATAAATTGGGTTACTTAGTCCATCAGATCCTAAAGTTTAATCAGATAAAATGAAAACAAAAAGAGTAGACACAATAAGTTGTCTTCAAAAAGATTGACAAAACACAAAAAGTCATATCCAATGCTGTTCTTAAAGAATAAAACACCTTAAAGATGGTGTCATTTACTATCTTCTTCACTCAGTACCTTGGATTTAAGCCTAACTTACCTCTCTGACCTATGTTTCTCCAGTAGCCCAAGTTTGATCAGGGTACCTAGTTACGTGTTCTTACCCCTTTCCTCACCATCAGGTCGATGTTTTCAGATTTAGGAGTTCCAGCTTTCATTAAGAAGCTGCCCATGTGTGTTTAACGTTTACTCTGTGAAAACAATTTTTTTTTAATCTAGAGGACCTTGAATAATAGTTAAAACAGAAAATAAACAAAGTTGGAGCTCACTAGTCTGTTTTTTTTAATTTTAATTTAATTTTATTTTTTAACAGAAGAGAGACATGGAGCTAAAGGATTTTCAACAATTTACCCAAGAGATACACCAAGTTAGTCCTGCTGCATTTTGATTTCATACCATTAGAGCTGAAAACAGTATTAAATGTATTCTTCACCACAACGGTCTAAAAGCCTATTTATTTAACCCAGCATCATCACCCTTTAATAAACAGTAATAATCTGGAATAACACTTACTCAAAATTCAGTGGCCAATCTTCAGAAAGATGTTTAGCTAAATTTCCTAATAAAGGTGATTAAAGCCACACACTCATAAATGCCCCTGTCTCTTAACATATATGATGTACTGATTATAAAATTATATGTTACTAAGGTTAATTATTATTTGGCATTTTTCCTACAGTCATTGTGGTGCTGTTTGTAACTCTGCGGCGACATAAAAATGAGCCATTGATTATCAAAGACGATGAAGACGTTCGAGAAAACATCATTCGCTATGACGACGAAGGAGGAGGGGAGGAGGACACAGAGGCTTTTGACATTGCAACTTTACAAAACCCAGATGGAATTAATGGATTTTTACCCCGTAAGGATATTAAACCAGATTTGCAGTTCATGCCAAGGCAAGGGCTTGCTCCAGTTCCAAATGGTGTTGATGTCGATGAATTTATAAATGTAAGGCTGCATGAGGCAGATAATGACCCTACGGCCCCACCATATGACTCCATTCAGATTTATGGCTATGAAGGCCGAGGGTCTGTGGCTGGCTCCCTCAGCTCCTTGGAGTCCACCACATCAGACTCAGACCAGAATTTTGACTACCTCAGTGACTGGGGTCCCCGCTTTAAGAGACTGGGCGAACTCTACTCTGTTGGTGAAAGTGACAAAGAAACTTGACAGTGGATTATAAAAAAAAAAAAAAAATTCCATGGAACTGAGCATTCTGTAATATTCTAGGGTCACTCCCCTTAGATACAAACCAATGTGGCTATTGTTTTAGAAGCAAGTTTAGCACCAATCATCTATAAACTCAACCACATTTTAATGTTGAACCAAAAAAAAAATAATAAAAATAAAAAGTATATGTTAGGAGGTTATAAATCTTGTGGAGTGTGAATTAAGTATGTGGAGTGTCTAGAAGTCTTTGGATATTTGATATTTACCTGACTACCACAGACAAAGATTGGGATCCTAGCTAATCTTTAGAGAAATGGTTTAAAAAGAGGAAAAAATCAAAATTAAAAGGTGCTTTCTTAGAAAAAAAAAATGGACCTGCAAGGAATCTGCTGCTGATTTGTGTCTTCTTCAAGGATTTTTATGAATGCAAATGGTTTTTTCCCCTTCACCAATAAGGATCCCGCCACAAATGATAAAGCAATACTTGGTCTGCTGTACATTATGACTTTTTGGAGTTTCGGGAGGCCTCCTAGATTATACGGTACGGTGACCACACATTGTACATAATTGTTGGCCCCACTCACCAGAGACTGAATAGCATCTTTAAATATTGTGTCGAGCCTTAAAATATTCACATGTTCGTAATCCATTCCAGGGTGGGGATTGCCAACTCAGTGGTGGGAGGAGAGAAATCCCATTCAAACAGCTTGTTTCTAGAAGCAGGATTCCTCCTTCCCTCCACCTCATCTTCTTCCACAAGGACACAAAGATAAAACTTTATCCCATAGTGGACTAATTAAGAGACAGATGGTTTTATTGCTAGCGCGTGAATTTATTTGTTTAATCCTCAAAATAAATATTTTATTGATGTCCATTAATGCTTTTATTTATTAAGGTTGGTACTCTATAGATTAAGGGACTATATGGGAAAAGAAACCTAAATTATATCCATTATTAAGACTTTAGATTGTTTTATATAAATATATATACAATGAATGTTTAATACATGTACATTTTGATGAGATAAGTATGGAAGGCAATATTATGAAAAGGAGAGCTAATAGTCTCTTTAGAGTAGGAAGTGTTATTGTGACTGGTGATGGCAGGAACAGCATTTTCCCAGAGAAACTAAAGGGACTGTTTTCTATTTTGTTCATAATCCTAGTATTTGGTGTTTTTACTACAAGCACAAACATCTGAAAGTATATTGATTCCTGTGAATATTTAAACTCTAGACTTTTAGATACCTACCTAATGCCCTGTCCAATAAACATGCTTCAAGTTGCCCCTACTATTTTAGAAACAGGAACTGATTTGTACATAATTTTACTGCTTCTGTTTTTAGCACTTCTGTCCCTGATCACAGTGATCCACAGAATGTTTTAGGCTACAAAGAAAAAAAAAAGAGCAGAACTAGAAGATGTGAGCATATTTAATTTGTAATGCAAACCTGCCATTTAGGAGTAGAAAATGTATGATAAAACTCAAGTATTACATGCAGATCATTTTAATTTTCTACTTTGCTTTAATGCAATATTGTTTATTTACTCCATGTATTGTATTCAGAGAAACTCCTGTATTGTTTCCTACTTTGTGAAATATATTTTTATAAATACCTTTGTTGTCATCATTTTTTTCCAGCCAAATGAAGACCTGATATTAACAAAATTATCAACTCTAACTGATATCCTAAAGGGTTCTTCCAAATCATCCCAAGGAACACTTTTATTTATTTGAGTCTTCATTATAAAGAACTAGAGAAGAGAAATGGCTTGATAGCTTTCATATAGCAAGATATAAGCAGAAACATAAAAGGAATTTAAAATAACTAAAAGTTTGCCAATTGTACTTTTGGGTACTTCTGGAAAGGGAAGTGGTACTGGGCTGGAAGACTTCAGACAAGATGGTAGGTCTACAACTTATGAAAATGAAGGGATCAGAGAACAGGATTTGACAAGAGAGCCTTAGACTGCAACATAAATCTGGCAAAATTTCTGTCAGTGCATTCACAGGGTTCTGGAATGAGAGACTGTCCACTAGAGCAAGATATCACAGGGTCAATGTAGTGAGGCTCTGGTCACCTGCCATCTCAATCACTGGCTTGGGGATGCCTAAGGAAAGCATGGATCTGGCTTGCAAATTGAAGGCACCAAGTTCTAGTAACTGCCTCCTTTGTGACAGCAACAAAACACTTGAATGTTATAACAAGAATTTAGTAGCTATCCAATGGTTTAATCAAATCCTTTTTGAGACCCCTCTTTTTGTGAATGATTCATCTTATATGCTTATCCCAGAGGCTATTGAATACTCTTTCTGAGGTCAAAGTGATGATCCAAAGTGACTTTTATAATCACCAGGTTAGCACAGTGTCTAAAACAAGTATCTGATGAATATAAGTTATCAACAGCAGTTGAAGTAATAATAATCAATTTTTAACAATATTCTAACTATCTTACACATTCCAAATCAAGGTGAAATTATTTATTTTTATTTATCTCTGTTATATCAGACTCATTTCTGACTTGTTTACAGTGAAGTGCCATAGATTAAACAAATATATCTACACAAAAATAACACTATTTTTCTTTGGGAAAATTAAACCTATGTACTCCTGTTAGGAATCAGTAGGTTATCTTCACATGGTAGTTTTGTGGGAAGGAGATAATAAATGGTATACCAGTTGTCCCAAACTTGCTTCAAAATTTATTTTACTTAGGAAGAGGGGATGGAAATATTTAGATTCCTTACTAAATTTTTACCATCACCATCTTAGCGTTTTGTGCTTAAAAGCCAATTCCAAATTTTGTAACATGGGGTGAAATGAGTAATAATGCTGTGTTCATTATAAAGACTACACTATATGAACTATGCTTTTAGAATATCATGAATTTATATGAAGATCCAAGGAACATGCACACAACACACACACACACACACACACACACAATTTAACTGAAGCCTTTACTTTAACAACAGACTTAGCAGGACTTCACCAACCAAAAGAATCAATAGGATTTTAAGCACTACATGCTCAACTTGCTAAGTAACACGTTATACAATTTTATTGAAGTGATTCTTTTTATATTTGTACATAGTCTTCTGTTCCATCAACATTTTTATATATTTTACATGTACCTACCTCTGTGGTTACTTTTCAAATAATTGTCTACAGATATTTTAATGTGTCTGTGGGTCTGTGTGTGTCACAAAGTTTAGTCTTTTCCTATCCTTTGAAACACATCTCTGCCCAAGGGTTTAATGATTAATGTAAAAAAAATTGTTATCTGGAACCAAGTGAGAAAAAAATTGTCTCCCTCTGTCTGCCACACAGTTCAAGGTTCCAGATGCATCCCTGGATGTCTGGACCCTTCTTGGGATGAAGTCAGCCTCCACTCTGTGTATTATTATTATTATTTTAATATTTATTTTTTAGTTGTAGTTGGACACAATACTTTATTTCATTTATTTATTTTCACATGGTGCTGAGGATTGAACCCAGGGCCTCACATGAGCTAGGTGAGCACTTTACTACTGAGTCACAACCCCAGCCTCTCTGTGTATTACTTGAGCAAACAAACTTATAAAAAATATCTCTTAAAGGTACAGATGTATATATTACAGAGTATTAGGAAGCCATTCCCTACCATACTTTTCATGAGTGCAATTATTACAATAGTTTAAAATAGTTCATAATAATAAGATACTATAAATTAAATTAAATTCATGTGTGAACCTTGCCTCAGAGAATTGTGATTTCTAGGCTATGAATTTTACAGTAAAAATGTTTTGGAAGAAAAATGTATAGGTAAGTGTATGTGTACATAAAAGAAAAAAAAAACTTAGATTCACTGGCATCGGTAGTGAAGCAAGAATGGTTAGAAATAGACAAATGTGTCTTTGGAAGAGTTCACTTAATCATATGCTTAAAGTAAGACAAGACTCTGCAGGAGACTTAGAAATCTCCTAGGAGCAGCCGGATTCCACACTGAGACTCAACAGAGTGCTGGGCTATGCTGTATTTTGGAGAAGGAAAAGCGGGTGCTGAGAGCTAAGTAGCCAATTACTCTTTATAGCCACATAAGGACTGGAGGCAAGTAGTCCCTTCCAACGAGTTGTGTTATGCGATCACTAGCTTTGCAGGGAATCTCACGAATGTATAACCTTCTGATTGCCTTTTTGATTGAAAGTTCCATCTGAGATCAAGGCAGTGCAACCAGTAATAAGATTTCAAAAAATCCCATCACTGGCACTGTCGGAAAGGTTGAGCATGACTGAAATCCCATCATTGTCAGTCAAAAAGATAAGGTAACAGCGGGCATCACTATAAAAGCTGTATAAATGCACAATTTCAACATGAATATCAACATTGAAAAGAATATGCATGATATCAACATTGAAAGGAATATGCATGCATGTTCATCTGTATACACACACAAATATATACACACACAAATATATACACACACAATTAAGGGAGTGGTGATAATTTATATTCAGTTCATTTCGCATTCTCATACACTACTAAAACCTGGAATGGGGGCTCTTTGTTTTCCTCAATCTAAGTCTGAATTTGAAAGCAATTCGACTGAGGATAAAGGGTTTTAAATGTAATTTTTTTATTTGTGAACAAAATAATTGCTCATAATGCTTGGGATTAGAATTAATGCATTACATCCTGAACTTGGATTTAGACGTTCTGCATCATTGTATTTTTGTGGAGAAAATAATTGTAGAATATATTTTATAGGAAATACTTTCTGGTGTGTTTTTATTTTATTTTATTTATAAATTGCAATAGCTTTGTTGCTCTACAAAATTTATTTGAAATGTTACTTAGTTGCACAGTGTTGACTATGTTTGACATTGTAGTTACTGCTCTTCATAAAAATTGTAGGAGATGATGTTGTCATTATCACTAAAGTAGATATTTATTTTTTTATGATTTTATTCTATAGTCAATACACATGTGTGGATTAAATAATATATTATCTATATTTAAGATATCCAAGCCTTACTACTATAGACACAATCCTGGTATTATAGGACCATGCAATTAACCCCTGTCCTTACTCCCTGGATAGACAATCTAAGGGATAAGAAGTTTGTCTAGTACAATTACTCAGCTTCTACCAGTGCAGGGATTAGCTGATATATAGATATGAACAAATAAATGCAATGGTTATTTCAAAACGTATTTTTCTAACTTATAAAAGAAGCTAATCAATCACATCTAAACTAATTGTTGAAATATTCCTTGCCTATAACTAAATAGTTGTCACATTTGGAGTTAAACTTAGGTTGATCTGACATTAGAGTCCCTTAACTCTCCACTAAACAATACTATCTGTGATTATAATGTGAGGCTTAAAATGATAAGAAATAGAAAGCACATTATAGTTTGTGCTGTGGAAGTACTGAGCAGTAATTAAGTGACTCCAAATGGCAAGACTTAATGAAGGTTTCACAGAGATTTTTTTTTTTTTTTTTTTTTTTAAGATAGCAAATGAATAAGCACAAAGAAACCACAGCTTTTCCAAAAACTAAGGGTAATTGTAAGAAGTGCCACATGTAAGGACTAAAGACAGATGTTTGGACACTCGGAAAGATAGAGAAATTGATGTTCATAGAATGCTCTCTCCTAAGGCCTAAATCATGTTTTCTTTTGTGGATGAGATATGAGGCTCAGAGACTTCTTAAGGAATGTTCTAGAATTTAGCTACACATCTAGTAAGTGAGAGGTGGGAGTTGGAGTATAGCTTCTGAGTCATTTCCAGGATGGTGAAGTTGTGTTTCGATATGCACTGCCTCTCCTTTACTCATGGAAATTTCTTCTAGACCACAGCAGGAGACATTTGCGGGAGGTATTGGTGCCTGAGGGCACTCTCCTTCCAACTTGTGTTACCTGACACCATCTGGTTCACACACCTTGAATGCAAGTGTTATCTCTAACAGATATCTCTACTAATAGATAATAGATATCTCTATTATCATTCACAGATTACAGAAGAGGGTTACTAGGAGGAATAACACAGGATGTTGCTGAAGACAAAGACTGCGGAAACAGTGACATCAATGAACTCAGAGGCCAGAACTACAAAAGGAAATGAGAAGTCACAAAAGGCAAATTTTAATTCCTTCAGATTTCTTCTGTATGTGCCAGGGTATGGAGGGCCATTCTGACTCCACATAAACATGAGGAAGATTTTAACAACTATCGTCTAAGATTAAACATGCAATTTACAAATCATTGATTGAGATGACTTCTCCTTTCTAATGGATGCTTTCCTTTGGCTTTGACTTTCTTTGATGGTTTTCTATAATTCAACCTCTAGATTTGGAGAGCTATTACCTATTTGTCAAGTTTGTAGAATATAGAAGTGGATGATGTAGGCTCAATGTTGGGGCTATAAATAACAGTATTGCAAATAAATTTTAAAAAGTACCCCCTACCAAAACATGTATTTTCTGCAACGTATGTTTGAGATACTGTGCTTGTGACAGGTGAAAGGTATACTCACCATTCTTCTCTTGCTTCTTAAAGACATGGGTAATAATTGGATAAATTATAGAGTTAAGTAAAGGACAAACCATTAGACTTGGCTGTACTATAAAAGTGGGGAGCAGACAGTGATTTGAAATCACAGAGAAAAATGTCAAAGCTTACTAAGGCACAATACCATGCTAAGGCATTGCTGAAAGAGTCTTGGAGAGAGCAGACTGTCAGAACATGAAGACTAGAGGGTAAGGTCAGGCTAGATTCCAGATATCTAAAAATGAATAGAGATGCCAAAGGGGGAAATTTCTCAATAAAATTCAATGTCAATATCTAAAATGCTCCATGTAACAAAACTCTCCAATGCTTATTTGTTTAACAACTGTGTACTGAGGATATTACACTAATCTATATGTTGAGAATAAAGCAGTGAATAGGATAGGAAAGGCTATCTCCCTTCAAAGCTTTGGTAGTATGAGAAAAATAATAGATGGGTAAATTTAAGAAAAAAATGGATATGATGGAACTTAATATAGATACCTAAGAAACTAAATGTTTTGCATATCATAGAGATATTTCAGTTGCTAGTTTTTACACTAATAGTAAACAACTGCAAAAACTATGTAAAAGTTTGTTTTAGTTGTTCTCCTGTAACTAAACCAGTGGCATACACAATAAATGAGAATGAGGTCTATTCTGTAGTGGATGAGGGAGAAAGCACACAATAAGACGTGGAGAGCTGAGCAGAGAGTGTATTATACAGGTCGTGGTCGACCAGGATTAGAAGCTCAGATTCACTTTATGCGAAAGAGGAAGCAATTGAAAGGGACTAAAACTGAGGGAATGACATGGTCTGACTTGTAGTTTTGAAATGATCATTCTCATTCTTGTATGGAAATAATATTGTCGGACCCCAGAATTAAAGCAGAGGCCCAGAGAGAAGGTTGTTTCTTTAGCCCAAGGAAGAAATTATCTTTCCTTTCACTCTTTCAGTGGTAATAGAGATGGAAGAAATAGAATCCTGATATATATCAGATATAAAATTGGAATCAATGGAGGATGCATTCAATAAGCTGAAAGAAGGAAAGATGAAATTTAAACATGACTCCTAGAGGTTTTTACTTGAACAACTATGTGATTAATAGATCCATTTGCAAAGATTGTGAAGACAGACTGAATTTGGATACCAAAAGCTTGCATCTGACTTCTCTAATGATCCACAGTAGAAAAAAGATAGCAGAAACCATAGTCCTGTAGAAACTCCTACACGGAGTATGTATAAGACTGTGTTAGGGTTTCCTAGAGAAGCAGAACCAAATGTATGTACAATGTGTGTATGTCTCTCTGTGTGTGTGTGCATGCCTGTGTATTTAGGTGTGTGTGTGTATGTATAAAATAGATATCCTATTTTAGATATATGCATATATGAGAATATACTCTTACATGTGTATCCCATTTTAATATACATACATGTATATTAAAGAGAGGAAGAGAGACAGAGATGGATAAGTAGATATTGATTTTGTATAAGGGTATTTGTATATTAGTATATTAGATAATGAGATGGGTCTGCTATCTGCAAGCTGGATATCCAGAAAAGCCAGTGATGTAGTTCAGTCTGAGACTGACTTCCTGAGAACCAGGCAAGCTAATGGCATAAGTTCCTACCTGAGGGCCAGAGAACATGAGATAGATAACCTGGCTCAAGAAGAAAGGCAGAAAGCAAAAGAATCAAATGAGTCCTTCCTGTTGTTTAGGCCCTTGGTGGAGCTACATGATGCCCACCTAGACCATGGGAGACAGCACACTGAATTCAAGGATTCAAAGGTTAACATCATCTAGAAACACCCACACCAATTCATCCAGAAATAACATTTAATCTAGGGACCCTGGGCACAGCTAAGTTGATACATAAAATTAATCTTCTCAGTGACCATCCCAAGCATGCTACTATATTTTGATTTTCTGTAGGTCAATTACTGAGTCGAAAAAGGTCACAAGACACATCATGATTCATCTTAGAGAAGATGTAGTTAGACTGATTATTTTGTATTTTCTAGTTTTCAAAAGACGAAAAACAAATAGAGGTTCTATTTCATTCAACAAGTTCATTCTTGGCTGGGGTATGAGGGATTCGGTCACTGGAAATGTTTCTTAGTGATTATGAAGAAATTATTATGAAACATTATCTATGCTTACAAAAATGTAAGGAAAAGCACATGTAGCATTATATGTAAATGTGACACATTGTCCAGGAAGCATTCCTAAGCTAATCCTTTCTCTTTGAAATGAATGCCAATCCTAAAAGAAAAAAACAAAAACAAAAAACTTTTGGTATTTGAGGTTTAGTTATGTTTAAAAACTAAAATTTACTGAAAAAATATACTCATTTTTTTGGATTATGTGTTAATCCCCACTTTCTAATAAAGTTAACCTACATCTCTGGAAGTTGATATTGGGTGCACAGAATTTGTCTAGAGAGAACAGTGTTGTGCCAATAAGAATCTCAGGCATAAAGAAGAATGAAATTATGGCATTTGCCAGTAAATGGTTGGAACTGGAGACTATCAAATCCAAAAGCCAAATGTTCTCTCTGATAACCCATAGCAAGGGAAATTATAGAAATTCATTGGATTAGACAAAGGGGAAGGAAGGAAAGGGAGGGGGCATGGGAATAGGAAAGACTGTAGAATGAACTGGATATAACTTCCCTATCCTTATATATGAATACACAACCAATGTAACTCTACAACATGTACAACCACAAGAATGGGATCCTAATTAGAATAAATTATACTCTATAGATGTATAATAAGTCAAAATACATTCTACTGTCATGTATATCTAAAAAGTACAAATAAAAATATATTAAAAATTATAAGAACTTCTTATATAAAGCACTAATTTAAATGGATGCACCAAATTTGACATGCATTTATTATGTTATGAACCCTGTAGTATATGCCATGGAGCTTGATCAAAGATGATGAGACTCATTTCCTCTCCTTGAGAACTTTTGTCTTCTGTGGCAGTCTCACACACTTATTTTAATTTTTAAAATTATAGCATTGTGTTTTTATTTGTGTATGTTTTGGCAATTTCAAATTGCTATTAGAACACTGAGTCAAATACTTAATACTTCATGAGTTCAGGGATACATGCATATTTATTATGCTCTGCCATGCAGAAAAAGTTAAAGATTTAGTTGGTCATTATGGGGTGTGATGATGCATATAAAGACAATATCAAGTGAGAAGCACAGGGGCACAAATGTTCAAGCACTCTAAAGAAGACCTTAAAACTTGGCAGGGATAAACCAAGAACAGAAGCTGATAGATTCATTTCTTTTTCCTATAGAAATGTCAATGAAATCTAGGAATATATTTATAAGTAACACCCTTTGTTTTACATGCTTTATTCTCGAAATATAATTTCATGTAATAGTTGACTATCAAAGACAAAAATGCCATGTGAATACATCAATAGATGATTTCTTTGAAAGTCTTCACAGAGTTACAACTTGCTTCAATCCTAGAAAATTAGTCAGTAAGCATAGAACAGAACTCCTTTTTTTTCATGAATGGTAATTACCCAAATTTTATAGCAATTAAAATAGCTAATAGAGAATCCTTACATACATTCTTCTAAGAGGAAATAAGGAAAGAAAAGCTGTCCTCATTGTTTCACTTCACTCTTTTTGGAAGAAATCATGAAGATTTCTAGATGTATGAAAATAATAGAAAAATTAACATATTAGATTGATAAATTATTAACACTAAGTAGATATTTCAGCAGTGTAGCTAAATCTGAATGATATTTATGAAAGAAATTAAAATGTTAAGGATTTCAATTCTTAAAATTTATTCTCCAATTTTCATCCCATTATAATCAAATTTGTAATGGAAATGTTTTTTTATGAATTTTATTTTACATTTTATTGAGGTCCATTCTCCCACAAAAAGAAAATGTAAGTAATATTAGCAGAAAGATAAGGAAAGAAGTATGTTTCTCACACTACCAGGTAAGAGGAATTTACTGCTAAGCTATGAAAAATAAATCAAGGAAACAATTAAAAAAAGTCATTAAAAAGCCTGTGGAATTTCTGTTGCAGGTAGAGAAGTAGACCAAAGTATATGAAACAATTTTTTAATTAAAAGTTCAAATTTAAAACAGTAGGCAATCACTTTAATCTCCAGAGACAGGTATAAAAAGGTGAATGCAGTAAAGTGTTGGTGAAAAGGTTAAAAATAATGCACTGCATCTCTCTTATGATCTATCATTTCCACATTAGGGTATAAACACCAGAGGAGTCCTTGCACAGGTTTGTAGGTGCATATGCCCAGTATTATTCACTTGGATGCTTTACACACACACACACACACACACACCCATAAATGAGGTACTGAACATGCCCTATGTATCCACACTAGGAGAATGGATCTTAATTTTATCTACTTAATAAGTGGACAAAGTTCTACTATGTGGCATTTGGACACAATTAAAATAAAACAGACACCAACAATTTTAAAACATTGTCAAGCAAAAAAATATATAAAGTAGAGGATGAAACATATGACATAATAACATTTATATTAAGCAAAACCACATAAAGATCCCACATAAAGATAGGTATTTATTGAATGACCCGACTGTGTACAGTTTTGATCAAGTGAGCTTCAATCCTAGAAAGCATACCTAAAGATAAAAAATGTAAGGTATGCTTCAGAAACACAGTAAATAACATATACATTAGACTTAATGGTTGATGGAGAGGAAGAAGTCTTAGACCAAGAGTGGGTGGTATTCTGATTGTGAAACTTTCCATATACTAAGAAACCCAATCCAAGATGTGAACTCCATACTAAGGAATTTTGTGATGCAGAACAAAAGAAGACCTTATCTGAGTGAAAGGTTTAAATTTTCCAATATTCTTCAGACCTTCTTTGAGGTCCCAATCTACATTTGCCAACTCAAATCTCTTAGAAATCCTATTGCAATGAAAATTCTTTTATTTTTTTTATCCTAGGATTCCTCAAATATAATTAATTATGATTTTTTTTCTTAGAAAAACCAATTTCATCTTTCTAGATACATGCATTTTATAGAATGAAATGTGAGCACGACTGCTAGAATCCATAAGCAAACAAAGGATTTTTAAGAAGTGAATGGGTATGATCAGATCTAATTTACTTTTCTTCCTCTTGAGGCATCATACTTATTGAATATTGACATTGCACACATTTCTGTGATAAGTTTTATTGGAAAAAAATTAGTAAAATGAGTCACAGATTTTACTCACACAGAGTTAACTGGAGACATGTAAATATATATTAATTTCTATTAGTGAAGTTAAATTAAACAGTACTATAGAATTCATCATCGTATTCTTATATGCACAGAACATATTTTGATCATATCCATCCCCTATTACCTTTTCTTCCACTCCCCTCCCCCCGATCTCTTTCTTCTTTTATACTTTCTGATACATTCATGTTATTTTACTTAACACATAGAAATAATTAGATGATGTGGCCTATGGTATATGACAGTATCTAAAGGAACTGATGAAACATTTGGGAGCTGTTATGTGGCTTTGGAAAAGAAAAGGCTCACAGAAGGTTCAGAATGACCAGCAAGAACAATGTGCACATTTATGTATGACCAACAGAACTCTGTGACCAAAAAAAAGGAACACAGATTTTTTTTGTATAATACTTTGCCTGTAACAGCAGAAATTCCACTTATAGGAATGCAAGTGACCAATATATGCCTGTAAGCCATTCATATATTGATCTGACAACTTATAAGAGTTCATTATAACCATATCAAGTGGAAAGTAGCCTCTTCTTGGGATGTTCCTGAAAGGTTCATGTTGAATTGACAGAATATTAGTTTTTTTACAGTCTATCCTCCTTATGTGAAACTCATATTATTTCTGCATTTGTATATGAAAATATTCCAGCATTGATGAAGGTAGAAAATAACTAGCTCTATAATTTGATGGTTTTATAATCATACTATAAAATGATTGCTCTCTTCTCTAATCCAAAACCAATAATGCTGAATGATGGTACATACTTAGCATGAGGTTTCTCAATGAGGAATGTACATGTGGGACAGTGAAGAAGGTGTTTTCAAGATTGTTCCCTAAGATGAGTTAAGTACTTCATATCTGCACAGAGTTGTACAAATAAGATCATCAGATCAGTTCCCCACTCTACATGCTACCAATTCATCATTAAAAATCAAACCTTGTGATATCCCTCTCATCAATTCAAGGGAGAATGTGGTAAACAACACAAAGTAAAGAGATTTGGAATTGCCTCTTGTAATCACCCAGATCCCTATCACCAGGCATGTTTACAACATAGCCATACTCAAGATCAAGTGTCTTCTCCTGACCTACACAGAGAACCTAGTTGGGAAAATACTAATTTTCTATGATCCTACTCAGAAACTGTTCCAGGTCCACTGATTCTGATGATTCCCTTTCTGGCTAATTTTATCAGATTTCTTTCTGGTTTATCTTATCAGCTGACTCCTTCTTGGAACCAATTTTCTACAAGGCCATGCTTTGTCCCTTGCATTTGGTTTTGCTTCCCATTCCAAAGGATGACCAAAGTCTTTAAATAAAATGATTGAGTTCTTGGCTGACCCTTTGGATGTGGAGATGTGGTCTTTCAGTTTTAAAAGATTTGTATTGTACTTACTTATTCTCAAATCATTTTCCTTGTGTCAATGAGTTCTGCAAAGTTTTACTTGCAAGTAGAATCATTTCAGTCCATTTTTTCCTGCCTATAATTTCTATACTGCATACTTTCGTAAGGGATAATTCAATCTGCTTCTTTGGGAAGTGAAAGGGAGAGAAAGAGGGCAAGGGGAAGTGTACTGAGATTGTTTAAAGGGGGATATCATATCGTTTCGAAAGTATTGATATAGTTAAGAATGGTGTGACTGACCGCAGCTCATTCAGCCATAGAACAGGTAATTTCAGGCTGCAATTCGCCTGCGGCTTGCAGACAGATTGCTAGGGTTCAGCGCCTGGGGGCTTCTTAAAATCTGATCTTATCGGAGTGAACACGGAGCGCGGGGCGGCCGAGTCCCGGCTCCCGGAACCGTCCCGGAACCGCCCTGGCTCCGGGCTGCGGAGCCTGCGGAGGCTGCTTCTTGGACCCTGCTAATATCAGAGCAAACACGAAACACCAAGAAGCCGAATTCCAGCTCCCGGAACTGAGCCCGCGGGGACTGCTTCTTGGAGCTTACACTTATAGGAGCTTACACCGAGCACAGAGCGGCCGAGTTCCGGCTCCCGGAACCGTCCCGGAACCGCCCTGGCTCAGGGCTGCGGAGCCCGCGGAGGCTGCTTCTTGGACCCTGCTACTATCAGAGCATACACCAAACACTAAGCGGCCGAATTCCGGCTCCCGGAACTGAGCCCGCGGGGGCTGCTTCTTGGAGCCTACACTTATAGGAGCTTACACCGAGCACGGAGCGGCCGAGTTCCGGCTCCCGGAACTTCCCTGGACCGGGGCTAGGAGCCCGCGGAAACTGTGTCTCGGTCCGGGTCCTGCTGAGGGCAGGTCAGGACTCACCCATTGCTTGGGTTGCCTGGCAAGGGGAACGAAATGCTGCCATTCGCATAGGATACCAACATGGCAGAGATCTGATGTCAGCAGAAAGCGGTGGAGGAGAGATCTTCATCAATACCAGCGGTGACATAAGCAGTTGGTCTCCTGGTAAGGGGGGTGAGGCTCAGTCACCCGAGTCTCCTCAATTTGTCCTCGAGCCAGAGGGAAGGAGCCGGGCCGCCGCCAGCCCCCGGAGCAGGCCCAGCGGCTCGCCAGCGTGGTGACCACGTGACCCCAATTGGAGAGGGGGCGGAGCGGAGCCTCCACCCACACCCGCCAGGTGGGCAGACCCACGACCCAGTAGTACATGGGCGTGGTAGGAGGGGCAGGGCAGAGCCGCCCTTCGCGCTTGCAAGGTAAACAGACCTGTGACAGCCTGGCGGGTCAGGCCCAGTGGCCTGCCAGTGTGGTACACACGTCACCCCAACTCGAGTAGGGGCAGAGCAGATCCTTATCCCACGCCCGGATCAGGCCCTGTCGGTGTGGAGGTCACGTGACCCCAATTGGAGTGGGGGTGGAGCGGAACCGCCACCCGTGCCCGCAGGGTGAGCAGACCAGTGATCAACCTGCAGATCAGGCCCAGGGGTCCGCAGGCGTGGTAGGAGGGGCAGGGCAGATCCGCCGCCCGCGCCTTCAAGGTAGGCAGACCTACAACAGACCGGCGGATCAGGCCCAGGAGCCTGCCGGCGGGGTACAAACACCACCCTAATTGGAGTAGTGACAGAGCAGAGTCGCCTCCCTTGCCAGGAACAGACCCAGCATCCTGCAGGCGGGGTAGTCACGACACCCCAATTGGAGTAGGGGCAAAGCAGAGCCTCCACTCGTGCCCGAAAGGTGGGCAGATCTGCGACCGACCAGCAGGACAGGCCCAGTGGCCTGCTGGTACGACAGACACGTCACCCCAATTGGAGTAGGGGCAGAACAGAGCCGCCACCAGCTCCCAGAACAGGCCCAGTGACCTGCCGGCGTGGTAGCCACGACACCCCAATTGGAATAAGGAGAGAGCAGAGCCGCCGCCCGCACCTGCAGGAAAGATACGCAAGCAGTATGAAAAGACAAGGAAAGAAAGGACCACAAGCAATGCAGGTCAACGCAACTTTAGAAGAGGTAACAGCTGCAGCAGATGGAATGTCAGATAAAGAATTCAGGATATACATGCTTCAAATGATCTGGAGTATCAAGGAAGACATTAAACAGCAAAATCAGACAATGAAAGATCACTTCGACAACGAATTACGCAAACAAATCCAGGAAGCAAAGGATCAACTATACAGGGAGATAGAGGTTATAAAAAACAAGCAATCAGAAATCCTAGAAATGCAGGAAGCAATAAACCAACATAAAAACTCAATGGAGAATACTACCAACAGAGTAGAACACTTAGAAGATAGAACATCAGACAATGAAGACAAAGTATTTCAACTGGAAAAGAACATAGACAGCTCAGCAAGACTGTTAAGAAACCATGAGCAGAACATCCAAGAAATATGGGATAACATTAAGAGACCAAACTTAAGAGTCATTGGGATACAGGAAGGTACAGAGCTCCAAACCAAAGGAATGAGCAGTCTATTCAATGAAATAATACAAGAAAACTTCCCAGACTTGAAGAATGAGACAGAATCCCAAATCCTAGAAGCCTACAGGACGCCGAATGTGCAAAATCATAAGAGATCCACACCTAGACACATTATAATGAAGATGCCCAACATACAGAATAAGGAGAGAATTTTAAAAGCTACAAGAGAAAGGAAGCAGATTACATTTAGGGGCAAGCCAATCAGGATAACAGCTGATCTTTCAACACAGACTCTGAAAGCTAGAAGATCCTGGAATAACATATTTCAAACACTGAAAGATAATGGGTTCCAACCAAGAATTGTGTATCCAGCGAAATTAAGCTTCAGGATGGAGAATGAAATTAAAACCTTCCACGATAAACAAAAGTTTAAAGAATTCGCAGCTAGAAAACCATCTCTTCAAAACATCCTAGCCAAAGTATTACAGGAAGAGGAAATGGAAAATAACAATGAAAACCAACAGTGGGAGGTAGGACAGTAAAGGGGGGGGGGAACAATCAAAGAGGAAAACAAACAATGTTTAGTAACAGAAATAAACAAATATGGCTGGAAGAACAACCCATATCTCAATAATAACCCTAAATGTTAATGGCTTAAACTCACCAATTAAGAGACACAGGCTAGTAGAATGGATCACAAAACAAGACCCAACAATATGCTGCCTACAGGAGACGCATTTGATAGGAAAAGACATACATAGGCTGAAGGTGAAAGGTTGGGAAAAATCATATCACTCATATGGACTTCGGAAACAAGCAGGCGTGTCCATACTCATATCAAATAAAATAGATTTCAAGCCAAAGTTAATCAAAAGAGATAAAGAGGGACACTACATACTGCTTAAGGGAACCATACACCAACAAGACATAACAATCATAAATATTTATGCCCCAAACAATGGTGCAGCTATGTTCGTCAAACAAACTCTTCTCAAGTTCAAGAGTCTAATAGACCACCACACCATAATCATGGGAGACTTCAACACACCTCTCTCGCCACTGGACAGATCTTCCAAACAAAAGTTGAATAAGGAAACTATAGAACTCAATAACACTATTAATAACCTAGACCTAATTGACATATATAGAGTATACCACCCAACATCAAGCAGTTACACTTTTTTCTCAGCAGCACATGGATCCTTCTCAAAAATAGATCATATATTATGTCACAGGGCAACTCTTAGACAATATAAAGGAGTAGAGATATTACCATGCATCTTATCTGATCATAATGGAATGAAACTGAAAATCAACGATAAAAGAAGGAAGGAAAAAGCATACATCAATTGGAGAATGAACAATAGGTTACTGAATGATCAATGGGTTATAGAAGACATCAAGGAGGAAATTAAAAAATTCTTAGAGATAAATGAAAACACAGACACAACATATCGGAATCTATGGGACACATTGAAAGCAGTTCTAAGAGGAAAATTCATTGCTTGGAGTTCATTCCTTAAAAAAAGAAAAAACCAACAAATAAATGATCTCATACTTCATCTCAAAATCCTTGAAAAAGAAGAGCAAAACAACAGCAAAAGAAGTAGAAGGCAAGAAATAATTAAAATCAGAGCTGAAATTAATGAAATCGAAACAAAAGAAACAATTGAAAAAATTGACAAAACTAAAAGTTGGTTCTTTGAAAAAATAAACAAAATCGACAGACCCTTAGCGATGCTAGTGAAGAGAAGAAGAGAGAGAACTCAAATTACTAGCATACGGGATGAAAAAGGCAATATCACAACAGACACTTCAGAAATACAGAAGATAATCAAAAACTATTTTGAATCCTTATACTCCAATAAATTAGAAGATAGTGAAGGCATAGATAAATTTCTTAAGTCATATGATCTGCCCAGATTGAGTCAGGAGGATATAGAAAACCTAAACAGACCAATATCAATTGAGGAGATAGAAGAAACCATCAAAAGACTACCAACTAAGAAAAGCCCAGGTCCCGATGGGTATACAGCAGAATTTTACAAAACCTTTAAAGAAGAACTAATACCAATACTTTTCAAGCTACTTCAGGAAATAGAAAAGGAGGGAGAACTTCCAAATTCATTCTATGAGGCCAACATCACCCTGATACCTAAACCAGACAAAGACACTTCAAAGAAAGAAAACTACAGACCAATATCTCTCATGAACCTAGATGCAAAAATCCTCAATAAAATTCTGGCCAATCGGATACAAAAACATATCAAAAAAATTGTACACCATGATCAAGTAGGATTCATCCCTGGGATGCAAGGCTGGTTCAATATACGGAAATCAATAAATGTTATTCACCACATCAATAGACTTAAAAATAAGAACCATATGATCATCTCGATAGATGCGGAAAAAGCATTTGACAAAGTACAGCATCCCTTTA